GTCAATGTTATTCATTGACTCACTTGTAATTATACAATAGGAAGGATCGAGTAGCAGCACTAAATAGTGATAGAGTTAGGCGAGGAGGGAGATAGAGAGGTTAATTAGGGAATCCTTGTTCATTAAATCACTACCAGATAAATGCAATTGAAATGAAGCAGTGCTATTAACAGATATGTTGAAAACCGTAATAAAAAACAACAGGGAGTTAGGGTATTGATATCAAGTTATCAAGTCATGAGAATACAATGCTATGGCTGTAAACAAAAAATTGTACTCGAAACGTCGTCATCCAGTTACTGATATTTTATCGCTGTGTTGTATATCAAATAAATTTATCGAACATTGTATTATTTTGAATGTGTGTCTGATCTGCATGAGGAGGCGTAGACTTCTTGGCTAAGATCTTCAAGATGTCGTATATCATTGGTTGAGTAGTGTTTGCGGTGTAACCCAAAGTTATTTATAGTGGCACAGATGTATTCAGCCTATTTTACCATTTTCTCCTATTGTTGGTCTGAAATCAGATACTCAGAATGCAATTTTATGTGTCAGACAATTTATTATCAATACAATACAGGGTTTCGGTAACATATCTCCATTCCATGCCATCACTTTCAGCTGACTACTTGGCTACCCATGAAAAATTTCGTTTCCACTTCACATGATCTCCATATCACACTTGGGTGCTCAACTCATCGCTTCCCATCTGGATACTACTTGATGGTATGTCTGGCATGTGATTTCACTTAAATGTCCCTTCAGAGCAGATCTAGCCCGTCTCCATCACCTTCCGCACACTAGCTGGGTTCTTTGGCAGTTTTATTTCCCTTATATTTCCTACGCGGCTATCTGAAATGAACGAGGATGGCTGCTGGAAAAAGTCTACAACCTTTGGGAAACGCTTTTGCTAATGTTCACGCTATTTCTCTGAGTCATATATAGAAGCAGTGACTGACTTGACATCAGTGATAAAAATTCGAGCCTTATTGCATTTTTTGGATAGATTTTCACAAGGACTTCATAGCAATGACCGCTTGTCTTGCCTTAGTGAACCTGGTTGGCTTGTAGTTCAAACAATGCTTTCTAGATAGGTGAAATGGACGAATCCCTTTAGATTTTACCATTTGACAGTGATTCACCTTCTTTAAAAACTTCTGTATACACTAGCAGGGAAAGATCAGATTTCATACACTTCAAGAGTTTATTTTAACAATTATATTTCTAATAAGTTCCGCTATTTTGTCTTAAAAATCCATGGAGAAAAAAGATTTTTCAGTGGTCATGTTTTATTACAAATTTGATTTTCTGGAAAGATATATCTAAAGCTTATAGATGCCTTGCCATCTGATTTGTACTGCTGATGAGTTTGATTCCCAAAACAGTGCAACCAACCAACTTCCAATGTTCAAATTTCATTGATTTGGCTGGATGAACACTACTGGCTGATGAAAGTGGTTTTCAACTGCACATACTGAATAAGTAATTTGAACCAACCAAAATCCATTCTTTCAAAAATCTACCTTATTTTCATAATTCTATCATATACCACTAATAGAGTGTTTTAACACTCTAGAGTGCTAAGTGAAGATAAAAAAATAATCTACTAGTAATAATACAAAGTTCAGAAACAGTTAGCTGTCTCAAAAACCCTACAGATAAAGAAATGCTCATATAAGCCAGTTTGGTCAACTAGTAATAATAAATGCCTGGAGGATTTCACCATGAGCTGACAGCTGGACAGCCGTTTCGTCCTGGTTTGGGACTCTTCATCAGTACGCACCCAGTTCAAGAGTTTGAAACCAGGAACTCCTGGTCACAAGGCAAGCTCGCAGACCGACCATTAAGCCACTAGGATCCAAGCCAATGGCCAGCCCATGAATTCTAACTTCTGCCATTTTTGATGACATAGCGCGACCACTTCGCAATGCCTTCTTCGATGAGTCTCTGCCTCATCTTCAACCAATACTTGAAAAAATAATAAGTTTATCATTTAGTACAGATTCATACTTTCGGTTTCTGGCTTTTGATAACTGATTGAACTCGCCTACACTTTCTCCCAATAAAATGTATATTTTAATAATTATTAATTAGATTCTTTCTTGAAAAGCCACTGTTGGTGAAAGTACTTAATCCGTTGCTAGGCTACACACAAATGCCTAAATAATAGTATCCAATACTTTACTGGACTATATAAATTCGTTTGGATAAGAATGTCTTAGTTCTAGTTCATATTATAATCTCAATATCAACCTACGTAACTGGTACTTAAAGTATTACATTCTTATGATATTTTACTATTAAAAAAACAACAGTGATAAAATCAAAGTAATTAAATAAATAGCCAATCAAATGCCGGTATCATGGTTAAATTTTTCCCATTAATTCATATGAGTGAATTGTTTGGCTTATTGTAAAGACAGCCTTAAAATAGTAAAGATAGTGAATTTAGCTTCATATGATCATCACATCGAATAAACTTTCTATAGTAACGACAATATAAAACGTAGAATCTTACCTAATGCGGTTTGTAGTTGAATAATATTTTCCTACACTGAAGAAAATGTATTCAGTTTCCCTTCCAGTTCATTGTAGATTTACCGAGTCTTTGACCATAAGTGTCTATTTTCTATCTCCGCTGGTGAGTAGCATAATATACTCAATAATAGTGAGGTTAGGCGTAGAGTGTTAAGTAAGGAGGGTAAGTCGGTCGATGATGTTGTGAAGGTGAATCGACTGAGATGACTGAGAGAAGTGTTGCTCATGTCAATTCCCCGCCTCCCTTGATGGCAATATTAGTTGACACAGGATTAGGTTGGAAAATAGTTAGAGGTGGTAAAATCAAAATACTGTATAAATCTAAGTCGTATTTGAATCAATAGCTGGAGACCGTTGGAGATATGGCTCAAAATCATTTTCATTGTGGCCTCTAGGGTCGATTAAATTCTCATTATTCTCCTTGTAATTACTCATTCTGCCCTAAATTTCTATTCTTATTACCTCCTCTGCATCTTTCTTTGCTGCATTTATACGCATTCTATGAAGTGTAGCAATTTGAACTGCTGCACTCTGTTCAAAGGTCTATGTTGACAAAAATTCAGTCAAGTTCACTACTTTGGTAACTGAAGACAGACACAAGATCTGCAGGAGAAACACCTATTTATATTAGTGGAGTGCGTCGGTGGCATAGCGGTTAGGACGCTTGCCGACCATGCACATAGTCCTGGGTTCGATCCCCGGCCACCGACGCACTCCTTTACCTCACTAAGCCAGAAATAATACTGATAAAGAGGAAGAGTTGGGCATGAGGCTAGCATCCCCATCCCGTAAAAAAACACTGCCACAGAAACTTCAAGCCTCTAGCTTGAAGCCGTATGTACCACTGGGGAACGTGAAGGAAAAAAATATTAGGGGACCGAAGAGTATAGAGAATCGGCAATGTATAATTTATGTTTGCATTACGAAAGATAAGGTTTTCTGTCTCTGTGAGAAGAAACGTTTAAAAGACACGCTTATTCCAATGTACAGTAAGCTTTCTAATTTCCATCCTCGATGTAGAAATTTTAAAGCCAAGAATGTCAACCATATCCCTCTCTGTCAACTATATTTAGCACCACAGGTACATTTTTTTAATAACATAGAAATCAATATTTGAAAACGTTCTGTATGATAGGGAGTATTTCTAGGTCATATTTTACCTAAACGGTTACTTCTAGCTCTAACTTTTGGCTCCAGTTTTAATTGAAATAGCTTTCAATGTCAATGTAGGCGTTGTAAGAAAGTGAATTGGATATGTTTTCTGTAAATGTTAGCAAGGAAATTATTTTGAAAGGAAAAACAATGCAGATAGTTGATCTAAGAACCATCACAGTTATTCTATGATAGTCTTTGTTATTGTTGAAAAATAAGTGAGATTCACCGACACAAACAAACAATAATGTGTGGTGTTGACAGTAGGAACTCAGTAAGAAAATTCTGTCGGTGGTAAAAATTGATAGAACTTTGAGAAAATAATTAACATTGAACTTTTATTACGAGTAGAATGATCAAGCAATACAAGTGTACGATGTTAATATCTAACAAAAACGCAAGTATCAGCCTTGTTCGGGCTTGAATTAACTGCAGGTGGATTATCTCACAAACATTCAGTACACACAAGAGATATTCTGTTACAGTGTCCATCCATGGTTTAAAAAGAGATATTTATGAAAGTTAATAGTTTACACAGCAAATAGAACCTAACTGCCCATTATCTACAACTTCCTACATCACCCCCCCCTCGATATTTAACGTGATAGGGTTACCAACAACAGTGTGGATTTTATTATTCTAGTTTCAGTGTGGTTACTAAGCTTGGTGACTCAGCATCAGGGTTCAGTTTGCATTGATGTCAAGCGTTTGGTAGTAACCAATAAGAAGATTTTGTGTTTATTGACACTTATCAACAAGGAGTATCTGCAGAAACTGATGCCCTCCTCATCGTAATGGTCCCTGATTGTTGCAGAGAGTGACACGGCTGTTCAGTGTCATAATCCTGGCGAGTCCTGCACTCAGATCTTGAGATATTTAGGTAACCCCACCCCGTAAACAACCGCCACAGAAAATTTAAAGCTTGAAGTGTGAAGTCCTTTGTTCCATTCGTAAGGCAAAGAGGGAAAATAAGGGTTTTTATCTCCGAGAATGGTACCAGTTTCTTCGTGGCTGCAGATACGCCCTACCGACAGTTTCCAATAAACACGAAACTTAAGTGAAGGGCTTCCTGCTGTTCGCCTGAAACCTCACAAATCTAATTAATAATGTGTTACTTTCTGAGATCAAAAAATTCTGCGGTAACTTATTCGTCACCCAGCGTAAATCTACCACCACTTCCTCTCCTCTGTTGTATTGTTACATTTCATGGTCGTTTCATAATCGATGACAGTGAAGCTGATGTATTAATCTTGTTGTTTAAAACTAATTACTGTTAACTATGTGTGCATATTCATCTTTTCACTTCACAGGAAGTTTAAATAAGTCAAGAGAAGAAAATTTTGAAAAAGAAAACAATATTAAACAATCAAGTAAGCAATCACCAAACACAGCTACCTATTCAATAACAGTAAATTCATCACCTTCAACAACTGGGGCATCCTCACTAACAACAGCAACACCGACGATGACAACGACGACAACAACAACACCAACCACACCGGCAACACCAACAGAGATGAAAGAGAATAGTCAAAAGATTAATCAAAGTAATAACAGTAGTAGTAATCTTGAGGATCGTCTACTCAAACTGTTATCTGGACAACACTATAGCACAAATGTCTCATTAGATACTCTGACTGGCTCTTCCAACTGTTTAAAACGACCAAATTATAAGTCTTCATTACTGTCTAGGCATCTACATACAAGAAATTACTATCTGCATACACTCAGAGAAGAAGATATTGAAGAAGATCTAGAGGATGAAGATGATGAGGATGATAGTGATGAGGATACTGACGATAATGATGATGAACTGATTGATGCCTGTGATAATGGATATGGTGATAACAGTAGTAGTTGTAGTAGTAGCAGTAAAAATATTGAAACAAAACTCCGTAAAACACAGATAAGTTCAGTGGAAGAAAACTGTCTACAAGCAAAAAATCGTTTCTTAACATATCAAACAGGTAACAAATATCATTACACGCCTAGTGTAATTAAAAAACGAAATCGTCCTAAAGGAAGCTGACAATAAAGAACGAATAGATGGACATTGGAATAAATATTGTAAAATGCAAAATGAAAATGCAATGCTTTGTAATTTATTTTGACATAAAGTTAACATGAAGGTGTTATTGGTTGTACAAATGTTCTGTGTACCTTTTGCATTCATCAGTGATGATTAACAATTCATTATTATTACTATTGTTCTTGTCGTTACCATTACAATTACCAGCCTTGCCAACTATTAACTTTACATAAGACAGTTTATTGAGAGAATGATTTTTTTTTCTTTTTTCTTTTCACCTTTATCCTATTTTTATTTTCATCACAATTCCAGCGTTTGCATTTCTTAAAGCTATTACACATAAATACTGTATATGTATATAAACCAGGATGTGACAAAGGAAGGTAAACTAACTTTACTGTTTTCTTCTATCCTTTTTGGTTATTTTTTAAAATAATTTGTTGCCTTTAAAATATTTTCAAACTGTCGCCATTGTATTCTGGCGTGAAAAGTAGTTGGACAAAGAAGTATCAGTGCTATTGATAACATTGAACACAAAATAAAATATACTTGTCAGCAATCAACACAAACAGGTAGACTGCTCGAAATGAAAAAAAAATGATGATAACAGTATGTAAAATTCTTTGTATATATATACGTGTGTGTCTGTGTGTTTGTAATTATTACACTCGCCTAAGCAAAACAAACGGAATAGTGAACAATGCATAATTTTCTACCAAGAGACTTGTGGATAGTAAAAAGATCAATTATATAGTTACAAAAATGTCAGAGGAAATCACTTTCAAACTTTCCTAGACAACTTTCCCGTTCTGTTTGTTATACTTCGCACATAAATTTAAACACTTTATGTATTGTGACATATGGTATAGTGTTTGCAAAAGAGGAATCATTGAACAATGATTTAATTTCATTTTACAGGGAAAAATTATGACAGTAATACACTTTGAGTGCATATCATCACGTATAGCCACTTTGATTTTGTTACACATTCGGTAATTTCATAATGCAGAACACAAAGATTACTAATGCAGAGGTGTTCCCTATGCAAATTACCAACATAAATGGTAAATTTTATCGTGTTCTGCTTTCTGTTTCATTTCTGTATCGATAATCTCTCGTCAGGTTACTGGAAAGTATTCTTCTACAGCATGACTGAATGTATTAAATCACGCATTATAAGAAGTTTATTCTTAATATATTTCTATTATTCAGGCCTTGCGCTCCGAATGAAACACAGGGTCTCAGCAACAACTATCCATTGCCCTAAAGTTTTATGATATCACTCTCAGTTGTTGGCACGGCCGCCCATGAGCTTTTGTTTTATCCATACATAATCTCCATATTTCACTATGTCACCCAATCCATCACCTCTGATTTGCGTTTTATTCGATGGCCCACCTATTGCGATCTCCTCAGAATATTTCCAATAAAATCTACATTTCATTCATATCTCTGAAGTAGGGTATGCTAGTCCACATTTGTATTAAGACTGTAAAGTGAAATCGCATGATAGCGCATACTACTTATTAGCAAGATTAACTGGTAGCTACACGTATCAGGCAGTAGTACTTGTTGGTCAGGTCGAAGTAATCCAAACACTAGATAGGCGATTTTTCGCTGTGGACGTGAATAGTTTTCAACTGACCGTACGAGTCAGTAATAAATACCACTATATGATTTCGCTTGTTATAATGTTTTCATTTATGGTATCAAACAAACCATACACTGTGATTCCAGAGGAAGCTGTGAAGAATTTTCACCTTGAAATGTGTATCTTTCAGACGACAGATTCGTTTTTATTTAAAGATGGAATCTTAGTCGTTTATCCTCCTTATAGAAAGAGAGACTCAAAACGTAAGTACAGAAAAAGAAACAATGTTACAAGAGAAGGTATTACCAGAAAATACTTAGTTCATTGGGATTATTGGTTTGTGTCACGTTCTTACAAATGAATAGTTAGAAATATCTTATATAAACCGGTTCATTCTTTCAGTATGAAGTCTGCTGTCACTAATTCCTGCACTGAACAAGATTTCAATACTATTCTCAGTCATCAACCATGATATTAATAGTAGTCTACAAATTTATGGTCATCCGAGATAGTCTCATCTTCAACCTTCTGTGTTCGTTAGTGGAAACGTCTCGAAAATGAACTTAATTTAGTCATTTGATTAGCATGCTGATCGTTAGTCAGCTTGTCTAAATGTTTTAGCAACCGAAGTTTTCATTCGAATTGTTACCACAACCTCATTAGTTTAAGGGGGATTTATGCAGCTAAGGATAACTGAGTTACATTCATCAACGATTATTTATTTACTTCACCGTTCATCTAAATTTATACTAGGTGATATTCTCAGTCAGATAATATATCACGAAGACGAAGAAGAAGAAGAAGGGAAATAAGAGTAATGATAACAATGAAAACTGAAGACAAATATTTGAGACTTGATATAATAAATAAACCTCGAAGAAGCCAAACGGACAATAGCCAATTGGACGAATTTGTAAATTGTACATTCGAGAAGAAAAAGTTTCATGAACACCCATGAGAAACAGGTTGCACTGAAGACGATATCTAGACTGGCATAAAAATCTCCCCCAGTACAATACTGAAGCACAAAGAATAACAAAAACATTTATCAGAACACAGAATGTGAGGGTGTTTAAAATTGGAGAGAAAAAATATTTCGAAATATGCTCATGGTTCAGTGAAGAAATATTTTTTTACAACTATTTCCTTACCAAGCTTTCTAGTTGTACGAATGTTAAGAAAAATATAGGTATCAATGACTATAGTTGAATATTTAGATGAAATAAGGATAGGACAATAAAAAGGAGAGTCACCTTATGTAGAAATGGAAACAGAAGCAATTTGTCTAATGGAATTCCTGTTTCGCAGGCAACACATTTTCTGGTTCACCCAACACTGTCTCAGTAATTTAATACAAAGACTGAAAATTAACAGAAGAATGATTTTCAGTAGTGATATCGGCAATTAGTCGCTGCAAATTAAGTGATCATAAAATAAGTTTATAAGCTCTTTTCTGACATTCGTCTCTTCAGCACAACATCCATTCTAAATATAGTATGTTCTGATTTTTATAAATAACAGTACAAGTATAAATTCTTGTGGAATTTATTCTAATTTTACGTGAAGAGATACAAGGAGAAAGTTTCGAACAAAGAGGATGTTCAGTATACCACAAGAGCACTTTAGCCAATATCTTGCAGGAATTAAGGTCTACAGTAACAAAAATATCAATTAACTGAGTTAAAGGCGGACCACTAACCCTGCTTACAGCCTTCAAAGTCCTATGGAATATAAAATACCCTTTTTTGAGAATTGTGGCTCGAACCCAGGACATTGCGGTTACAAGGCAAGCTTGTAGACCATCGAGCCACTGGGACCCAATCCAATGGCCAAACCATTAAATTCCAACAGTATCTCAACTGACTCATCATTCAGAGTCATTTACAAAGTAAACAAAAATCTACCAAAGCCAGTGTGTTTCCGATTTCTTTGTACCACGGAAGCTCTCACCATACGCATCGAAAAGCCGGGGCTGTGTGTTCCAAAGAAACTAGTCCAGCCTTTATGACTACCGTGGACCTAGTTCGGTATGTTCCCTTATCCTTCAGTTTTTTTTGTTTTGTTTTCTAAGTGTATTTTTCTCTCTTTGTCTTCGTTCAATTCATCCCATTTTTTTTATAAAACCAGTTATTTTAAGTTTGTTTCCATGCTCCTCCTGATCACACTTGCAATCCGTTTAGAATAACTATTTTACAATTATATTCTGATCCTGTTCGGTTTTTTCTGTTTCTATGTCTCTTGTAATCTATATTCACACATCTTAACTTACACTTCAGGTTGAAAATTACTATTTCAATTTATTTCCATGCTCGGTGGCACGGTGGTTAGGACTCTCGCCGACCATGCACATGGTCCGAGGTTCGATCCCCTGCCGACGCACACCTGATATCTATGGTCGGTCTGCAAAATTTGGGCTACCGATATCCATGCTGAAAATTCCACACTTGTACCAAAAATACAGTGTGGAATCAAGCTGTAATTAAAAATAAAATAAATTTTCAAGTGTTGGTTTGCAGGGATTTGATGGGTATCAGGATTTCATCATGAGCTGACATTAGTTAGAGAACCATTGGAAAACCTGGGAGTACTGAACAGCTGTTTCGTCCTAGTTTGGGACTCTTCAGCAGTACGCACCCGCCGGGATTCGAACCCAGGACCTTCCGGTTACAAGGCGAGCTCGTATACCATTAGGCCACTGGGACCCGATCCACTGTTCCTTGAATTCTAACTTCTGCCAATTCACGACATAGCGCGACCGCTAGCTAATGTCTTCGGCGAGTATTTGTCCTCACACCCGACCAGCTGCACCCTACTGGTCACGAATTCCCACCGGGACCCAGGTAACTACCTACCTGAATAGGGCCAGTCGCCAGTGAGCATCTCATTGGTATTCAAGTGTTGGTTTGCAGGGATTTGATTGGTTTCAGGATTTCATCATGAGCTGACATTAGTTAGAGAACCATTGGAAAACTAGGACGAAACAGCTGTCCACTACTCCCAGGTTTTCCAATGGTTCTCTAACTAATGTCAGCTCATGATGAAATCCTGAAAATAAATTTTGTTCACATCTGTAATCCGTTCTATCCTTGCGTCATTTTTGTTTCTAAGCCTCTTGTAATTCATTTCGAGTTGAAAATAATCATCAACTTTTATTCGCCTTTAAAATTATTTATCCAGTTATCAAATATTAATTTTGTACACGTTGTAACTGTTTTCTAATCCTATGTAGTCTTGTCTCTAATCCCCTCGTAATCTATATTCCCACCTTCAAAATTTCATATCAAGTTAATACCTTCGTTACTATGTGGAATTAAATCAATAATAATTGTATCCATGTAAACTAATGCATATAAATGCGATTGTACAGCTTTTGAGAATGAAATCGCCAAAAAGATATCTTTGCTGAACTTCTTGTTCTTTTCGCTAGTAAGCTGACTAAACAGCTTCCAGCTGTTGGAAATATTTTTACAAGTCAAAACGTTGTCATCATATATTGCATTGAGTTTTTTTTGTATTTCAGATTACACTAAATGATTCAATCTTCTAATGATAATGAGCGTAATAGGCACCTCAAATGATTAATGGTAATGGCTGTTCTACTTCAATACAGTCTACATTGATGAGAAATGAAATTACCAGAATAAAAGGAAAACTGGTCTGTAACTGTAACGCCGACTTCACTTGATAAAAATACATGTATTTCCTAGACACATGAAACTATGCTAGGTTAATGACGAAATAACTTTATCTAAGGGCAAGATTATTTGTTCACATAATAGTAATAATAATGTTTGGTTTTATTCTGGAAATTATGCTTACACAAAGTATAGATATCTCAG